AGTCATTAGAATTAAATGGGAAAAATATTTAGCATCAAAAGAAACATTAAAAAACCCAGAAATAAAGAATCTGAAAGCATGGAATTCAAACAAACTCAATTAACAAATGGTTTTCGCTTTTTTTCAAAATTTAAGGGGGGAAAGAAAATGGACTAATTTAAATTAAAAATGGTTGTTTTGGAAACGTCAGCCCCAACCATTTTGAAGAAAATCACAAAAAAAGCCAAGTTGGCCCCTGCCCTGCATAACTGTTTAAAAAGTGGCGCTTTCTCAAAATCACCAAGGAAGGTTCCTCACTGGCAAGGAAAACCAGTGGCTGAAAAAAATCCCTGGAAGAGTCCTAGAAGGTTTTAGCCCAAAAAGCCCCAAATTCCTTCAAGCATCGAAACTATTCCTTAACAGGGTTTTTTCCCCCTACTCCAATAGTTCTTTCCTATTTCTTTGTTTTTAACATAAATGGAAAAATTTTGCTTTCCTTTTCCAAAATCTTTTCCAAGAACTGATTGGCTTCTGAGAAGTTTGTTTTCCCAGTTTTTGCGAAGCAGGCGCCTTTACAATCCAAAACCAATGCATGCCAGAAATTGAGTTCAGAAGAGAAAGAATTAAAACAAGAAAAGTTTGTTTAAAGTGGAAAATGCAAGGTTAAATTAAATTCCCCTTTCCCTTTTGTGTTAGAAAACTGCTGGAAAGGTGGAAAATTCAAAGGCGCCCAAGAGAACCCGTTTCCACCCGCCGGGTTTTCCCTAAGGAAAAAACCTTTTTGAAAATTATGGCACAAGGGAACTGCAGAAATTGGAAATCCAGTTTTGAAAAAGGACCCTTGAAAAGAAGAGAGAAATGAAAATCCTGGATTATCCAGGTGGGTTTCAATGTCATCACAGGGAAAATTCCTTTTAATAGTGAAAAAGAGAGAAGCAAGGAAAAGAGGGAAAGCAAGAGCTTCTTTGTGACCACAAACAAGAGGCTTTTGAGAGAAATGCAGAATGGGAAAAAAAGGCCCAAGGAAAAACAGGTTAGGTTTTTCCCTAGAGCCTCCAGGAAATGAAAAAACGGCAGCCCTGCCGTTGACACCTTTGAAATTTTTAACCCCAGTTGAAGAACTTCCCTCCCAGAAAAAAAACTGTTAGATAATAATTGTTGTGTTTGCTAAGCCACCTAAGTTTCTGTGGTCAATCTTTATTAAAATTCGGCAGAAAAACAGAAAACGAATATTACTTAACCGCAACCTTTACTTCTTCTTTCTAAGTTCCTATTTTAAAACAAAATTAAACACATAAAGACTTTAGGAAAAGCAAAAAACATGCCCCAGTGAAGTATGTTTTTCCTATGTAATTTTTTTGGCATAAGAGGGCCTAGAGGGAAAAACGACAAAAGAAATTCCTGGCCGCAGTTTTGGCTTCACGAAACTATAATCACACACATTTGGGAAGGGCAGAAAGGTTAGGTAGAATTCATGTTTGAAAGCCTAAGAAAAGCTGAGACGCAGCCTGGCAAAATTAAATAGGCAAAGAACTGTCTAAATAAAACAAAATAGAAAAGTTATCTGGGGCATGGTGGTACAAATTTCGCCGTTTTAAGTTTTCCCAAAGCCTACTTAAGGAAGGAATGGCCCAAGGGGAATTAAAACACTGGTGCCCAGAAAGTTGAAGGCTGCAAGTGTTTTTTGCTAATGAAATTGACAAGCCACTGCTCCCAGCCCCTTTGGTTTTAACAAGAAATGAAAAAAAAACCTTGCCAAAAAAAAAAAAAAAAAAAAGAAGAAGAAGAGGGAGAAGAAGAAGAAGAAACAAAGAGAACCGAATTATAGAATCCAAGTCGAACAGACCCATTTCCCTTGGTTTCTTCAGTCCTCTGATGGGGAACAAAGATAATCCCCATCAAGGGAAGAAAAAAAGGATGGCACGAATAAATCAACCATTTTTTGGTGAAACTATCAATTTTGCCTTTAACAATCCAAAACCAACCACCGTTGGTAGGGGCCATGCCCAACAGGGCCACTCAACCCAGGATATGTTTGTTGGCCTTGCATTTTGCGGACTTGGTAACAGGTCCACATTTTGAACCGGGGTAACTCAGAAAGTACCCAGTGGCTCGTTTCAATTCCAATTTTCCTCGTTGCTGAGGGAAGAAAAACAGGGGTTTAAAAACAGAAAATCTTCCACAGGTTTTATACTTCCTCAAGACTGGCCCTTTCCCCAGAAAAAAACCCCTCTTTCGCTTTCAAAAGTTCATAAGAAAAAGGTTTGACAATAAGGAAATCAAACCATTTTTTACTGATCAACTAAAATTACAAGACCAGGCGCTCTACCATGTTCCCTCGACAAACTACGCTTTCTTTGAAAAATGGGCCAAAACTATTTTTTAAATAATAATAGCACAATAATTAATATGAATAACTCCCTTCCTTTTTTTGAAAATCAGAAGCTGTTTGGCAGTCAAAAAAACACAAATCTCCTATAAGTTTGTCCATCCCAAGGCCAGTCTCCCTTCTTTCAGCTTTCCTTCCAAAACCCTCCTACCATTGCGCAGCTTGACAACCTGGCCCTGGTGCCTGGAAGCCGAAAAGGGGAAGTTTGAAAAACCCAAAGAAAACACCCAGCTTGTGCAAGGTTTTGAAGTCTTTCTGAGAAAAAAAATAATAAAAGATCTTTAAAAGGCTTTTTCAAAGAAGCTCTTCCATCCTAGAATTACGCGATACCACTTGTTTGCCTCTGGGGGAAGAACGAGGTGGGCTTGGGGGACAAAAGGGCGAGAAAGACTTTTTTTTCATTTTCATTCTTTTGGTATTTTCAACTTGGGACGCAAAATGGGAAAAATTGTGTTTTCTTTAAATTTTGAAACAACACCATTTTTTTGTTTTAAACTTTTAAACATTTTAAGAACAATAAAGTTTTCCAGATTTGATTAAAACAAAAGCAAGGGCAAGAATTTTATTTGAAAATGTATAGGGCAGGGGTTTTTGCAGGTTGGGTTAAATTTTTTTTTTTTTTTTTGAAAGACAAAAAGCTTAACAACAGTGCCATCTTCTGCAAATCACCTTTTTGCTCACAGCAACCTAAAAATCCTTGGTTCAAAGTACTTCTCGTCTCAGCCGTTCGCTGAGTTAGCTGGGAACTTAAAAGGGGCACGCGCCCACCATGCTCGCTTAAATTTTTTTTCCTATGTTTTAGATGGCCAATTAATTTTTTTCTAATTTTTTAGTTTAGAAGAACGGAAAAGTTTTTCCCTTCGCTCTTTTCTTTTCAAGGGCAAAATTGCGAACTCTAAATTAAAATGATCCGTTCCCCACCCTTGGCCCCCCAAGAAAGTGCTAGATTACAGGCGAGAAACGCAACCACAAAACTTGACCTTGGCCAAGGTGGTTTTTCCACGTGAATCCAAATCTGCCACTTGGTAAATACTGGGCATCCCTTGGCTTGAACCATTTCTCAATCTCTAAGGCCTCAGCTCTCAAATTATGAAATGGAGAAATAGGCACTTCAAACCTCTTCTTTCCTACCTCGCAGAAACCAATTGAAGTTTCACTACATAAGAGTAAGACTGTAGTAAGCATGTGCCAGGCAACAAAGATGGGTTGTAAGTTGGGGGTTTTTTGGAAATATCCCTAGAAAGCTATATCCAGCGTCCTAACCCCAGAAAAAAACCGTTGAAAAAGGTTTTTGATTTTTAATTTGAAAAGGGTTTCTTTCAAGATGTTAATTAAGTTTAAGGAAATCACGAGAAACAAACACCAGGGACTTGGTATCTATTATTGAAAAGGCAGAGGGGGCCGGGCGTGGTGGCTCAACCTTGACAAAGCGGGAAAAAGGAATTGCTTCAAGGTCAAAGGAAGTTTCAAAACCAGAACTGAGCGAAAGAACCCTCCTACTATAAAAAAAAATAGAAAAAATTTAATCTTGCCGCAACTACAATATATGATAATAAAATATAATAAAAAAATTACGGGCAATGGTTGCTCGTGCCTGTAAGTTTCCCAGCTTAACTCGGGAACCTGAAGGGCAGGGAAGGATCGCTTTTTTGAAGCCCAGGGTTCGAGGTTTTTGCTGTGGAAGCGAGGCTGAAAAAAAAACGCCATGGCAAAAACTTCATTCTAGCCTGGGCAACAAAGCGAAAAACTCTGTTCAAACCAAAACAACAAATAAATAAATGAAAGGCAAGAAGAAAAGACTGGGAAAAATGGAAGAAAAAACAGTGGAAACAATCCAAATGTCCATTAACGGACAAATGGATAAAGAAAATATGGTATATCCATGCTGTAGAATATTATTTGGCCATAAAAAGGAATGAAGTTCTAAAGTACATGCTATGATATGCATGAACCTTGCAAACACAGTGCTAAGTGAAAGAAGCCAGACACACAAGGACACATACTGTATGACTCCATATACAGGAAATGTCCAGAAAAGGCAAATCCACAGAGACAGGAAGTAGATTAGTGGGCCAGGGACTGGGAGTATGGGGGGTGATGGGAAATCAGTATAAGGTTTCTTTTTAGGACAGTGAAAATGTTCTAAAGTTGATCATGATAATAGATGCACAGCTATATGAATATGCTAAAAGACAGTGAACTGTATACATACTCAAATTGGTAAATTTTATGGTATGTGAATTACATCTCAATAAAGCTGTTATTTTTTTAAAAAAAACATACCAGGTAAGATACATAACTCATTTTGCAGGATGCCTAGTGTAAACGGCAGCAATTATCATTCTCAATTTTATTATTCAGTACCCAGCTAAAATGAGCCCCAAGAAGATATCCTCTTTCCCTCTCCTGGGACATTTAGCATCTTCAGACACTGAGAACAGTTCTCTACCCTCCAGGGTAGTAAGCAGCCAAGGCTGACCACCTCCGCCCCCAAAACCCTGGACACCAGAACAAGGCTGTATACGCAGCAGACCTTGGTCAGCATGTGCTGAATGAGTAAATGAACTTGGAGCTCCAGCATGGATAGAGCAGGTCTGTCTTCCCATGCCCCCCACAAAGGGCCCTGGATTACCGCAGTGCTAGCTGGGGAGCCAGGACTGATGCTTTTCACTTTGGCGAAGCCCTGAGGAGTGCTGAAGCTCATACTGTGCCCCTGTTTGTGGCGCATGGCCTCTTTCTGGGCCTCGGCCATGTCCTGGGCCTGCTTCTGCTTGTCACGAGCATGCAGTTGGTGCAAGGCTTCCTCCACCTGCTTCATCACCGCTTTGTGGTCATTCTGCAAGCCTGGGATGAGAACCACCACGTCAGAGGCCAAGGAAGATAGCCCAGGACACGAGACTCCTATATTCACTTGCTGAATATTTAACAAGAGCTTATGACATGCCAGACATAGGGCTAGTGGCCAAAAGTCAAACCCAGGACCGAGGACCTACCCTGATGGAGCTTGCATTCCACAAGGAGAGCAGCTATGGAACAGGTAATTATGATGATATCTGATGACTGTGGCTAGGCCTCTCCAGCAGGGAAGCCTGACCTTACTAGTCTAGGAGATCAGGGAAGGCTTCCCAAGGGTAGTGCTATCTCGGCTGAGACCTGAAAGGTGACCAGAAGGAAGGTACTATTCAGCTGAATCATGGCCATGAACTCAAATGCACCAGCATGGTGGTCATGCAAATGAGTGATATGGGCTGGGCGTAAGAAAGATTACATTTTTGTCTTAGATCTTCTAGAAGAAAAAATGATGCATAAAAGCCTAGTATAACATGGCTGGGGACACTCAGTCTAGAAGTGACAGGGAATTAGCCAAAGAGGAACCTTGCTATTGGGGTCTTGCCAACTGCTGGAGTTTGGAAGGGAGAGCCAGTGTCACCAAATCTTTGATTTTTCTAGAAAAGCTGAAAATTGGGAGCCACTGAGTGGTATCTTCTGATTTTTCAGTACTGACAGCTAATTCAAAATGTTGTGAATCGCCATGCCAGTTGAACAAATCATGTATGCAGGCCAGGCAGCGCAGCAGCTAGCAATTTGATAACTTCTTCTTTTTTCTTTTTAGCTAAAAACAACTTCCCTACTGCTCTGGAGTCCATATCTTTATTCTAGCTGGTCACTCACAGAATCCCCTCTGAGGACTTTCCAAGAAAACCCAGTTAATCCATGTCTAGCATCTACAGGTCACAGACTGTCTAACTTTCCAAGGCCTTCACCTGTGGGCCTGGCTGGGCTACCTGACCTGGCTCCTCTGCCCCTGTCACTTTGGCGCATAGATGAGGCCCTCAGGCATAACGGGACTCAAGGACTCAACCCACAGGAGCAGACACAAGAAAAGACCACAGATTTGAATAAGAGGAGACATATAACTAGGAAGGAAGACTTAAAATGCTGTCAGTAGATAGCATGTGATAACTCTCTGACTAGAAAAGCACCCGCACGTGACAAGGTCCACAAGGGTCCCTAGACTCTCCAGCAATGCCTGGCACATTGTAAGGACTCAATCAATATAGAGCCATTCGGTAATGGAACGAATAACTTTATTTATAATATACTATAATTCTAATTAAAAATTCAAAAGTTTTTTTTCAGGGATGAAATGTTTCAGCAGGATATTTCAAAAGCCAAATTTGCAATTGTGACAAGTGTACCATACTAATGTAAGCTGTTAACAATAGAGGAAACTGGGTACAGAGTATAAGGGACCTCTCTGTATTATTTTCCTAATTTTTATGTAAATCTGTAACTGTTCTAAAAAAATAAAGTCTACTTTTTAAAAATAAAATAAACTTATAGTATTTTTTCAAAAGCAAACCAATAAGGAGAAATTGTTCAACCAGATTCTTAAGTGTGATAAAGTTATTAAGGCTGGACATGGTGGCTCACGCCTGTAATCCTAGCACTCTGGGAGGCTGAGGTGGATGGAATGCTCGAGGTCAGGAGTTCGAAACCAGCCTGAGCAAGAGCAAGACCCTGTCACTACTATAAATAGAAAGAAATTAATTGGTTAACTAATATATATAGAAAAAATTAGCCGGGCATGGTGGCGCATGCCTGTAGTCCCAGCTACTTAGGAGGCTGAGGTAGGAGGATTGCTTGAGCCCAGGAGTTTGAGGTTGCTGTGAGTTAGGCTGATGCCACAGCACTCACTCTAGCCTGGGCAATAAAGCGAGACTCTGTCTCAAAAATAAATAAATAAATAAAGTCATTAAGATGATGGGATATTGATCAAAGAACATAAAAAACCCAGAAATAGATCTAAGCATGATTCAAAACTCAATACACAATGCTGTTCGCATTTCAAATTAAGGGGGAAAGAATGGACTATTAAATAAATGGTGTTGGAACGTCAAGCTAACCATTTTGAGAAACACAAAAGCCAGTGCCCTGCCCTGCACTGTAAAGTGGCGCTTCTCAAATTTCACCCAGAGTCCTCACTGCAGGAACCAGTGGGCTGGATCCCTGGAGAGTCTAGAGGTTTAGCCAAAAGCCCCAAATTTCCCTCAAGCATGACTATCTTAACATGGTTTTCCCCTACTCCATATCTTCCTATTTGTTTTAACATAAAAATGAAATGCTTCCTTTCCCAAAATCTTCAAGGAAACGTGATGCTCTAAGAAGTTGTCCCGAGTTTGTGAAGCAGGGCCTTACATCCAAACATGCTGCAGATGGAGTCGAGATTGAGAAAGATTAAACAGAAGTTGTTAAGTGAAAAATGCAGGTAATAAATTCCCTTCCCTTTGTGTAGAAACTGCTGGCAAGGTGAATCATGGCACCCAAAGACGTTCCCACCCTGGTCCCCAGAACCTGTGAATATGGCACAAGGGACTCTGCAGATGTGATCCAGTCAAGGACCTTGAGATAGAGAGATGATCCTGGATTATCCAGGTGGGCTCAATGTCATCACAGGGATCCTTTATAAGTGATAGAGAGAAGCAGGAGAGGGAAAGCAAGAGCTCTGACAGCAGAAGCAGAGGCTGGAGAGATGCAGAAGTTGGAAAAGGCAAGGAAACAGGTAGGTTCTCCCCTAGAGCCTCCAGAAGGAACCAGCCCTGCTGACACCTTGATTTTAACCCAGTGAGACTTCTCCCCTCCAGAACTGTTAGATAATAAATGTATGTTGTTTAAGCCACTAAGTCTGTGGTCATTTATTATGGCAGAAACAGAAACGAATATACTACCCAACCTTTACTCTCTGCTAGTTCCTTAGTTAAAAACAAATAAACACATAAAAGATTTAGGAGAGCAACATGCCTGCAGTGGAGTATGTTCCCTATGTATTTTTGCAAGTAGAGGGGCCTAAGAGGGGAAACAGCAGAAATTCCTGGGCGCAGTGGCTCACACCTATAATCACAACACTTTGGGAGGCAGAGGTGGGTAGATCATTTGAGCCTAGGAGCTGGAGACCAGCCTGGGCAATATAGCAAGACCCTGTCTATACAAAAAATAGAAAAGTTATCTGGGCATGGTGGTGCATTCCCGTAGTCCCAGCTACTGAGGAGGCAATGGCAGGGGATACACTGGTGCCCAGGAGTTTGAGGCTGCAGTGAGCTATGATGACACCACTGCACTCCAGCCTGGGTAACAGAATGAGATCCTGCAAAAAAAAAAAAAAAAGAGAAGAGAAGAGGAAGAGAAGAGAAAGGAAGAAACCAGAATTATAGAATCCCAGAGTCTAGCCCATTCCTTGGTTCTCAGTCTCTTGATGGGGACAAAGATAATCCCATCAAGGCAGAAGAAAGGATGGCAGATAACATCAACCATTGGTGACTTCATTTATGTGCCTTTAACATGCCCCACCACGTGGTAGGGGGCCATGCCCCAACAGGGCCACTCACAGATGATGTTGTGCCTGGCAGTGCGGACTTGGTACAGGTCCACATCTGACCGGGGGTAGCCTTCAGAGTCCACCAGCGGCTCGTTCATCCCAATTCCTCGTTGCTGGAGGGAAGAAACAGGGTTAAACAGATCTCACAGGTATAACGTCCTCAAGATGCCTTTCCCCAGACCCTCCTCCTTCAAAGTCATAAGAAAGGTGACAATAAGGAAAGTCACCATTTACTGATCACTTAATACAGACCAGGCGCTCTACCCATGTCCTCACAACTACCTTCTGAAATGGGCACTATTTTTTAAATTAATTTTTAATAGCACAAGTAATTATATGAATCACTCTCCTTTTTTGAAATCAGAGCTGTGCAGAAAAAAACAATGACTCCTATAAGTGTCATCCCCAAGGCCAGTCTCTTCTTCAGCTCCTCCAAACCCTCCCTCCCATGCGCAGCTGACACCTGGCTGGTGGCCTTGGAAGCCGGAGGGGAGTGAAAACCCCAAGGAACACCCAGCTGTGGCAAGCGTTTCTGAGTCTTCTGAAAATATAGAACACTACAAAGGGCTTTCAAAGACTCTTCATCCCTAGGATACCGCTGATACACTTGTGCCTCTGGGGAAGGACGAGGTGGCTGGGGACAAGGGCGGAGACTTTTCACTTTACATCCTTTTTGTAAGTTTTCAACTTTGACCATGGGAATGTGTTCCCTATTTGAAACAACACATTGTTTTAACTTAACATTTTAAAGACATAAGTCAGATGATGGCACATAAAAGCAAGGCAATATGTTGAATGGTATAGGGCAGGGGTTTTGCAGGTGGTTAAATTTTTTTTTTTTTTTTTTTTTGAGACAGAGCTACACAGTGCCATTGCATCAGCTTAGCTCACAGCACCCTAAAACTCCTGGGCTCAAGTGATCCTTCGGTCTCAGCCTCCTGAGTAGCTGGGACTACAGGCACGCGCCACCATGCTCGGCTAATTTTTCCTATGTTTTTAGATGGCCAATTAATTTATTTCTATTTTTAGTAGAGACGGAGTCTGCTCTTTCCAGGGCAATTTCGAACTCCTAACTTTGAATGATCCTCCCACCTTGGCCTCCAGAGTGCTAAGATTACAGGCGAGAACCACCACACCTGACCTTGCGGTGTTTTCAGTGATATCCAATTCTGCCATGTACAAACTGGGCATCCTTGGCTGAGACCTTCCTCATCTCTAAGCCTCAGCTTCCTCAATTATAGAATGAGAATAGTGGCACTCACCTCTCTTCCTACCTCTTGCAAGAACCAATGAGTTCACCTACATAAGGTACTTAGTACAGTGCCGGCACATAGATGGTGTAGTGGGTTGAAAAATATCCCCTAAAAAGCTATATCCACGTCCTAACCCAACCGAACTGTGAAAAGTTTTGATTTTATTTGAAAAAGGGTCTTTGCAGATGTAATTAAGTTAAGGATCACGAGACAAGATCATCCAGGGACTGGTATCCTTATAAATGAAAGCAGAGGGGCCGGGCGTTGGTGGCTCACGCTGAGGCGGGAGGATTGCTAAGGTCAGGAGTTCAAAACCAGCCTGAGCGAGACCCGTCTCTACTATAAAAAATAGAAGAAATTAATTGGCCAACTAATTATATATATATAAAATTAGCCGGGCATGGTGCGTCGTGCCTGTAGTCCAGCTACTCGGGAAGCTGAGGCAAGAGATCGCTTGAGCCCAGGAGTTTGAGGTTGCTGTGAGCTAGGCTGACGCCATGGCACTCATTCTAGCCTGGGCAACAAAGCGAGACTCTGTCAAACAAACAAAACAATAAATAAATGAAAAGGCAGAAGGAATCTGGAACATGGAGACACAGAAAGGCCATGTGAAGATGAGGGTGGAGTTCAAGTTATACGGCTATGAGCCAAGGACTGCCGCACTGTCAGACACTGGGCAAGAGCATGGAACAGATTCTCCTACACAGTCACCAGGAGCTAAGCATGCTGACACCATGATCTCAGACTTCTGGCCTCCAGAACTAGGAAAGAATAAATTCCTGTTGTTTTAAGCCACCAATTTTGTAGTAATTTGTTATGGGCACCCTAGGAAACTACTAAGCATAGAAAGTAATAAATGGCAGCTGTTAATTATTAGTCAGTCCAGAGAATGAGCTGTCCAGTGTACACAGGCAGTAAGCAGAGGGATCCCATTCACTTTTTCTCCTTCCTCTCTGGAAGCCTCTAGGTTACACCCAAACCTCCTGTCTCCCTAACAAAGGACTCTCTATAGGTACTGCAGAAACAATACAAGGTCCTAAATAGTCCTCTGCCTCCTGACTTCCCACAAAGACTAAAGCTCACTAGCCTCTGAGAATTAATACCACATAAGATACTGCTTCCCAGAGGGGCCCATACCACTGGCTGTTTACATGCACAGCATTAAACAACCCTGAATCTAAAATATGTATTCCTTTTCCAATTCTATTCTATCCTTCAATAATCAAGAAAAAAGTCTTCATTTGGTGCTGGTCTTTACGACATCCTTAGATTACTTGCTATCTCTGGGACTCTCCATTTTTTAGTTTTATTGAGATATAATTCACATACCATACAATATTGACCCATTTCAAGTGTACAATTCAATGGTTTTAGTCTACTTACAAGGGTTGTATGACCACTGCCACAATCAATTTTAGTACATTTTCATCGCCACCCAAAAAGAAACCTAAGACCCATTAGCAATCATTCCCATTTTCCCTCTCCCCCATCTCCTGGCAACCACTAAGCTACTTTGTCTCTATGGCCTATTCTGGACATTTCATATAAACAGAATTATGGAACTATTATGTGATCCTTTGTGACTAACTTCTTTCACTTAGCATAATGTGTTCAAGGATGATTCATGTTATAGCATGTATTAATACTTCATTCCTTTCTTTCTTTCTTTCTTTTTTTTTTTTTAGAGACAGGGTCTCACTATGTTGCCCAGGCTGGACTCTAACTCTAGGCCTCAAACAATCTCCTGCCTTGGCACCCCGAAATGCTGGGATTACAGGCCTGTGCCACCACACACACCCTGCATCACTTAAAAAAAAAAAAAGAACAGAGCAAGGCTTCAGGCTAAAGCCTTCAGGCTAAGCCTTCAACAAGCAATAGTAACTAGCTAGATGCAATCAACATATTGAATCACCTTGAGAAGGATTTTTACCTTCTAAGGGGAGAGATTCTCATTTCCCATATGCAGTAGAGTTATAAAATTTCCCTTTAAAATAAATTTATGGGCCGGGCGTGGTGGCTCATGCCTGTAATCCTAGCACTCTGGGAGGCCGAGGTTGGTGGATTGTTTGAGCTCAGGAGTACGATACCAGCCTGAGCAAGAGAGATCCGTCTCTACTAAAAATAGAAACAAATTACCTGGACAACTAAAAATACACAGAAACAAATTAGCCGGATGGTGGCGCATGCCTGTAGCCCCAGCTACTCGGGAGGATCAGGCAGGAGGATCGCTTGAGCCCAGGAGTTTGAGGTTGCTATGAGCTAGGCTGACACACGGCACTCACTCTAGCCTGGGCAACAAAGCGAGACTCACTGCTCAAAAATAAAATAAATTTATGTAAGTAAAAATGGTTCAACTTAAGGAAAAACATCAAGGGATACAGCAACCTGCTTGTGGTAGAAAAGTAACTAAAGTTTGAGAAATTGCTGGTATTTACTTGAAAGCACAAGTTCTGGATATAACAGCCCTGAAGTCTGAATCCCACTTTGTGACTTCCCTTTTCTGAGCTTCAGGGGCACATACTAACTTCACAGAGTAGTTGTGAGGATTCATTATAACACACACAAACACACACACACACACACACACCAGCACCCTTCAGGTATACAGTCAGAACCCAGTAAAATGGTTCCCTGGCCTTATATAATGCTTTATCTTACATCACCTAAGATGTATTCCAAACGACTCGCCTTGAGTGTAATTAATTTACTCTTCCTCTGCAAATTTATTTGTGGTTTTCTACTAGCTGGCATAAGAAAAACGGTATCAGTTTTGGAAACAGATAGATCTGGTAACCAGACCCATTAATTCTACTTCCTAACTACCTGACCCTAGGCAAGGGTTTGCCCCACTCTTGGCCTCCTGTTTCTTCCTTATACAGTAAGGATAATGAGCCTTACTTGTCACTCAAATCGCAGTCCTTAGACCACTAGCATCAGCGTGGCTGGGAGTTGAGAGAATCTGCTCTCCCATCTCAATCAGAATGTGCATTTTAATAAGATTCCCCATGTCATTCACATACATATTTAAGTCTAAGAAGTTATATGATGTAAAGTAGGTAGTAAAGCACATGCCACCTGGTAAACCTTCAATAAGGACCCACGGTGGTGGTGATTATCACCCTCCCTCTGCAAACATACTACCGGTAGCCCTGTGACCTTAGGCTGGTTTAAGTTAACAACTCAGTTTCCTCTTCCCCTAAAATGGAGAAAATGCCAGCAGCATCCACCTCAAAGGGTTGTTGCGAGGATTAAACAAGCTAACCAACGTACAGCACATCAAACAACGCCTAGCGTCCGGCAAAGCCTCAGCGATGACTTGCCAGACAGCGACGCGGCACTAACCGTCCTTGGTTGTTAGCGTTCTTCGCCTACACTTCTGGTTGCCAACAGAGGCCGCAGTTGCGGCGCCCCGGGCCTCTAGGGGAGAGAGAGCCATAGCTGAGCGCCCAAGCAGAGGCTGCTCCCGCCTCTCAGTCCTCCCGGTCGCGGCGCAGGGTCAGGAAGCTTTAGGGCGCCCCCCACGCCCGCCCGGGAGCCCCGAGCCCACACTCACGCTCTCCAGCACGTCATAATTGGCCTGGATCTGCGCCTCGATCTCCTCCTTGCGCCGCATCAACTCCTGGACGTCGTTGACAGTCACCGTACCCGCCTGCAAGGAACCTCCGCTGTTCCTAGCTTCCCGCTCAGACATCGTGGACACCCGCCCGGAGTCCCGGACGCCCGGCTCCCCGACTGTGGACGCCTGAGGAGACCGGGGCTACGGCTCCGCCCGTGGTCCAAAACACCGCAGCCGCCCGCGAGCGCGAAGAGAAGTGAGGGGCGGGGCCTCGGCGGCGGGGCGGAGTCACCGGAAGCCACACCCTGCTGGAACAAGTGGGCCTGTGGTGACTCGGCTGGGGCAGGGTGCGGAGGAACGGATTCCGGGTCCCCTCAGCGCGCGCGCGCACAAACGCGCACGCACGCACGCACGCACGCACACGCACACGCGCTAGGAGAAGGTCTCGGCCTGGCTGACTGTTTTTCCTCTTTCGTTCAACAGACGTTTATTGAGCGCCTACTGTGTGGATGTGCCAGAGAGCACTGAGTGGCTCTCTAATTCAATTCTTCACATCTACATGGCCCTTGAGGATTTACAAAATACATTCAGGTTCCTTATCCCCCATTTTCCAAACCCAACAAAACTGCGTTCAAGTCCCACTCTTGCCATTTACTGCAATCTGTGTGATCTTAGGCAAATTACTTCATTTCCCTGAGCCTCAGTTTCCTCATCTGTAAACTGGAGCAGCATGTTGATAGCAGCCTCTCACAGAGGTGGCCTTCTGCCAACAATTATTCACGGAATACCTCCTATGTGACACAATATTCTAGGTGCTGAAGGGGAGAAAAACTGTGAAGTACTGTGCTCAGTGCTCCTCACGTATTGAGCACTTCACTGTGATGTTTGGTAAAAATAATAGTGATAATGATGATGGCAATAATAATAATTCATTGAATACTTATAATTAGGATTATTATTAGCCCCCACTTGACAGCTGAGAAAACCATCTCAATAACCAACTTACCCAGCTAGAAAACCCTGAAGCCAAAATTCCAACCCAGCTTAACCAAAGAATGAAACTTAACATCTTAACGGGAGCCCCTAATATTTTGCACTGTAAAGGACATAACATCACCTGTATAGTATCCAAACATGTTTGTCCTGAATCTCATCTTGGGGACACAAACAGATAAATCCAAAAGTGAGGGACATTCTTCAAAACAACTGGCCTGAAATCTTGAAAAAGGTCAATGTTGTGAAATACACATGTGGGGTGGAGGTGGCAATTGCATAGATTAAAGAAAGCTAACAAGATGAAACAGACAGCGGTGGCTCATGCTTATAATCCCGGCAATTTGAGAGGTAGGAACATCCCTTGAGCCCGGGAGGCTGCAGTGAGCTATGATTGTGCTATTGCACTCCAGCCTGAGTGATAAAGGGAGAACCTGTCTCTAACATTTTTTTTTTTTAATTTTTTAAAAAGAGATGCAACAACTGGCCAGGCACGGTTACTCACGCCTGTAATCCTAGCACTCTGGGAGGCCTAGGCAGGCAGATTGCTCAAGGTCAGGAGTTTGAAACCAGCCTGATCAAGAGTGAGACCCTGTCTCTACTATAAATAGAAAGAAATTAATTGGCCAACTAATATATATAGAAAAAATTAGCCGGGCATGGTAGCGCATGCTTTTAGTCCCAGCAATTCAGGAGGCTGAGGCAGGAGGATTGCTTGAGGCCAGGAGTTTGAGGTTGCTGTGAGCTAGGCATTCACTCTAGCCTGGGCAACAAAGTGAGACTCTGTCTCAAAAAAAACAAAAAAAACAAAAACAAAAAGAGATGCAACAACTAAATGCAATAATTAATCCTTTATTGGGTCTTGGTTCTCCTCCATCCCCCCCAAAAATAAAAGATATACAGGTCATTCTTGGGACAATTGAGAAAATTTGAATATGGACAGTATATTATCAATATTAAATTTCCCGATTTTGACACTTGCACTGTGGTTATGCAAGACAATGTCCTTACAAAATTCACCCTGTGGTATTTAGGGACAAGAGAAGCAAAGAACTTTCAAATGGTTCAGAAAACAATATGATACAAATATATATTTGTAAACAAGAGAAAGAAAAAGTACATGTAGCAAAATGTAAATAATTGGTGACTCTGGCTGAAACATATATAAGCATTCTTTATACTATTTTTATAACTTTTCTGTAAGTTTGACACCATTTCAAAATAAAAAAATTGAAAAATAATCTTTAAACAAAAAAGTAGAAAAAAGAGGAAGAGTAGAACTGACTACATTAGGCCTCCTATATATTTTCTTCGATTATCTCTTTAAAAGAAATTAATATGTCTAACATTGGCCAAAAAAGAGAGACAGAGACAAGAAGACTAAATGCAATACACAATCCCTGATTGGATTTTTAAATGAAAAACAGCAGCTTTAAAAGATATTATTGGGCCAGTTGGTGAAATTTGAATATGAACTTTATATTGTAGTATACTGATGTTCAATTTCCTCAGTAAGACGATGGTATTGTTGTTATATAAAAGAATCTCCTTATTCAAAGGAGATAAATGTTGAAGTATTTTAGAGGTGTTACTGTCATGATATCTTTTTTTTTTTTTTTTGAGACAGAGTCTCACTCTGTTGCCCAGGCTAGAGTGAGTGCCGTGGCGTCAGCCTCGCTCACAGCAACCTCACACTCCTGGGCTCATCAAAGGGCCGACTCCTCCTGCCTCAGGCACTCCCGAGTAGCTGGACTACAGCCACTGCCGGCCACCAAATGCCCCAGCCTAATTTAATAACAGTATATACAGTATTCAAGTTGAACCAATAATTCTTTCTATTTATAGTAGAGATGGGGGTCTCGCTCCTGCTCAGGCTGTTCAAAACTCCTGACCCTTGAAGCCAATCCCTGGCCTCGCGCTCGCTCAGAGTGCCTAGGATTTCAGGCCTCGAGCCACGCGCCCGGCCTACTGTCCATGATTTCTGCCTACTAACTTGCAAAGTAGTTTCAGAGAAAGAGACTGCAAAGAGGCAGATGATAACAATTGGCAATTAAGTGAAGGAGTTACTGGTGTTACATGGAAAATTATCTGCAACCTCTCTGAGGTTTGAAATTTTTCGGCAAAAAAATCGAAAGGGCCAAGGGAGGCCGGGTGCGCGTGGCTCCACGCCTGTAATCCTAGCAGCTTTGGGCAGGCCGAGGCGGCGCGGAATTCGCTCCCCAAGGTTCCAGGAAGTTGCGACAACGGGCAGGCCTGAGCGAGAAACGCCGTCCCTACCACAAATGAAAACAAATAATTGACCACTAAAAATATATATAGCACAAAATAGCCCGGGCCATGGTGGCGGCATGCCTGTAGTCCCGCAGCTAGCTCCGGGAAGGCTGAGGCAGTAGATCCTGAGGCCCTGGAGATCTGAGGTTGCTGTGAGCGCAGGCTGACGCCACGGCCACTCACTCTAACCGCCTGGGGCCAAGCCAAGGAGTGAGACTCCTGTCTCAAAAAAAAAAAAAAAAAAAAAAAGCCAAAGGAGACTTATTCTGGCATCACACCTCATCGGAGAGGCTACCCTGTCGTGACGAATCACTATGTTGTTGTGAGTGTGGTTTTTTGTCAGTATTTATAAATAAACCGCAGCCAGAATCCTGTCACTCCACGTCTCCCATAAACGATTTGAATCCATCGGTCACCCCATCCTACATCCTCTGGCCACCTCCATCTTTTTCCTGGTTGTAGCAGCTCCAGGGTCCGTCGCATTTAATCCATTCTGCCCGCAGCACGCCCAGAATACCGCCGCCTTCCGCAAGACATGGTGAGAATGTGTCACTGGTGGCTGGGCTTAAAGCCTGCAAGTGGTTTTCGAG